CCCTGCTAAAGTTCTTTCATTTTGAAACCAGCTGACCCAGTGAAGAACTGAGAACATGCTCTAGCTATAGCTTTTACTTTAATCCCATATTAATTTTCATTCTTGCATGAAGGTAGATTATAAACACTTTGTGTCTTATTTCCACTCTCTCTGGTATTATCCCTTAAAATGCTTAACTTACGAATGTCTCTCACCAGTTGCTTTGCTACTTTATAGCTATCAAAAGTCCTTGAGATTTCACAGTTGTACGTGCTTATGAAGGACAGCAGCATTATCACTCATACTTGTCTATCAAAATGAGGCAGCTCAGGTTTCTAGACATGAATCAACCTTTCAGAAAATTGCCTTTTGTTGTTTCTTTACACTCTAGAAAGAACTGCAAATAGCTATGAAAAGAAAATCTAGTCCTAATCCTCAAAAGGCTGTGAGCACAGGGCCTTACACCATTTAATTTATTACTGTATAATACTCAAAATAATATCAAAGAATGGGCTTTTAAAACATGAAATCATCACAGCCATTCATTCAGTCTACCATCCAATCATCAACAGGTAGTTTTTTATACCATGCTAATAATAATAATACCTAACATATGTGTTGTGCTAATACATCCAAAATACATTGCATGTATTAGCTATTTTACTTCTACGTCAGTAGCATACTTCTGTGCAACTTGAAGTTGACTTACTGTGATGTGATTTGTTAATTTTAATGACCAATCATAATTAATTCATGATAATTAATAATAAAGAAACATACATACAGCTGCTGGAGACAACTGCAATTCGTGTAGGCTTAATTTATTTAACTAAGTTGAATAATACAGTTTATCTAGTAAGGGGGTGATATTTAATTAACTTAGTTCTTCCATTCTCCGTTGCCATCTCATTTAAGGCAAACCACAGTAAAATATGACACAAGAATTTTCCAAAGCCTGTGAAGGTTACACACAGAGCAAAGAATGAAGGGCTGGCAGCAAGTACCTCTGGTGAAGCCACCAGCTGATTCTGTACCCTCCAGCAAGTTACCTCAATCAGACCCAGTTGGCCCAACTGAAAACTGCAGGGGAAAAAAAAAGGAAAAGCTTTTGGAAAGCTAGGTACTTCATCAGAACAGAGCTTTACCGGGAAAATAAATTACAAATGCTCTGACATTCTCCTCTTACTTACAACACTGAGCTGCATAAAAACACCAGGATAAAATGGTGAAGAGAAACTGAGGAAAAGAGCTAGTTACTGTGATGTGTCTTTATTAAGATAAACGGAGGGGTCACTGGGCTCTTTGAGACTGAATGTCATTAGCACAAAGGCTTTGTCATTTCAGGCCTGACACTTGCCGTCCATAGATGTAGACCAAAGGGATCAGTTATGCCCTTTGAAAAAGACAGCTAATGAGTTTTACTGTGCATCAGCAATCTGGAGATGTCAAAACACTGGGCATCCTTCCAGCTTTCTGCTGTACACCTATTTAAAATCCATATTTATTGCAGCAACTCTATTATTGCTTGAGAAACTTCAATAAAATGAATTGGTTTATTATGTTGTCAGGATAAATGGAAAGAAAATCCCTCATCTGCATTTCTTTGAAAGCTGGGTTGTTCCTGTAAAGAATACTTTTTGTCAATGGTCACATTGGTATGCAGTGTCTAAGAGCATATTAACTGCTATTGTAACTGAGAGGCACCTTGAGACTGTGTCAGGATAATTGTGTCCATATTGTTTTTTATATCTGCTTCATGCAAATCTATGTACATGATAAGCATGATCAATGTTCTTTGTGGATTTCATATTAGGGTGACCCTGGATCATCTGCCGCAGGAATTAAGGTAACTTACTGTTTATAATAGTGGCCAGCTTTGAGCAAACTTCCTGACATTTTAGACCACAATTAATGTTATTAATGTAATGTTCTTTTGTGCTCTTCCCCAGTCATGTTTCCCCCCGCCATTTGCTCTGATCTGGTATTTTATACATCTTTCAATTTTTTTTTTTTTTTTTAGGGAGAACCTGGAGAATCTGGTCGTCCAGGACAAAAGGTAACCCTCTGAAATTGTCCAGTGTCGGTTCTTGCTATTACACTTATGATGAAATCACATTTATATAGAGCATTAGCAAGGGTGCTTTTCTCCACATAATTGCTTATGCTGTAACAGCAGTGGATGCAAGATAGTGCATTTTAACAGCTTGCTAAAAGCCTGTCCACATTTTGTTCATGACCATTTTGTGTTTTCAAAACTGTCAGTAGAATGACACTGCCTATAGTGAAATGCGAGAATTAGGGTAATTCTCCCCTTTCTTATGGTTTTTACCACACTGGAAGTATGCAGTCTCTCTCTTTTCAACAGTCTGAAGCTAACAATGAATGGCTCTACTTTCTGCATACCAACAAGTTAACCTTGCATGTTTGACTAAGTACTGACCTTCAGGTTATAGTATTTTATTATAACTCATTAAGAAGAAATAAATAGTGACCTGAGGGCTGGAGGCACCCTTTCATTCATACTTGTAGGGAGGATTTAGATTGGTGGAGGCAGACACAGGATTTAGAAAGCTCTGCTGTATTCTTCCCTCCTGAAAAGCCCTTCTACTGGACAGTGTGCAGCCAGGACTTTTGAAGATGGGTAGTGAGTAGCCAGGGGTGCAGCTACTTTATATGCTGTGAAGCGTCCTGAGCCTACCAGATTTCCAGTAGGAAATTCACAGTGTCATCAATAGCATTAACTACCCTCCTGTGCCTTAGACCTATTTTTCCCCCACCAAAAATGGGTAGGACACAGCCGTAGGTGGGAGAGCCCATGACAACCTGTCATCTCAACATCTGAGGATACCCTGGGAT